TGGGCCTGAAACTGACCACAGAAGTGTCACACTGAGCCAGGTGAGGCACTCACCGCTGTCACCTCCCCGCACTCACAGGTTCTAAGACAGCTTGGCTACAGGGAGTGAGACCACACCTTGAAAAACAACTCAAAACAGAAAAGGAGGAGAAGACACTGACCACAAGGGGGCGCTCACCCCAGCCCAGCCACAGGCAAAAATCTATGGTTCACTCCAAAGCTGGGAAAATTCAGAAGGGAAGAAGGCCAGGCTGACTGGCGCAAGCGCCAAGAGAGAAGGCTTCCGAGGAAGGGTGACCCTGCCACAAGGGTCTCCAGCCCCAGCCCAAGCAAAGCTCACAACGGCCGCTGTGTCCTACATCCTGTCTCAAAGAGACCCCAGTGGGGTGACATCTTCCTGGGAACCCCTCACAGGCCTGGCTGACAGCGTTTTTGTCTGAAGCTCTTCCTATCAGGTCCCCGTTTCCAGAGTCACACCAGCGCTGTGACTGCCCAGTGGCTTCTTCCACCTACACATACATCCCATTCATAAGAGGCATTTCCATGTGCTTCTCTGAGCTCCCCCCGCCAGCTCCCCACTCCCCCGAACAGCATCACATTAGCTTTTCCTCAGCAGAATCAAACAAAATCAGGAGACAACGAAACCAGGAGACGGAAAAAGGAATGTCACTATGCTGTCAGTTAGTGAGACATTGTTGGAGCGGTCCCCGGAAGAACAAAACCATCATCTCTAGCCACAGTTGGTGTTTTACAGATAATCTCAGCAATGGTAGAGGTTGGTGACCCAGTTGTGATTTAGAGCGGTCATTTTAAGAAACACACTGCAAATACCTCCAAGACTAGACTCCAGAATGAAACAATTTTCCAAAGGAGAACAGGCAAGAGGCTTGAAGAAGGAACAAGACAGATATGAGGTGGAGTTTACTACACCAGAAATAGTACCTCCTCTTCGTCCTCGGATCCCACCAATCCACGAATCCCTGATTGAATCAGGTGCTGGAGCAGGAGCAGTTTAAAAACAAACAAACAAACAAAAAAACAACCCCAAACAAAAAAACAAAAACAAACAAACAAACAAAAAAAAACCCTGTTCTGCAACAAGGGTATCTTCAGCATTCACCGAGGGGAGAGAAAATCTCTTTATCTGTGTTTGACACTAAGTGATTTCATAATGGCTCCCCAAACATTTGGAAGAAACAGAAACGGCTTCACCAAGCACCACACTGTTTTCAGCAGTTTACAAAGTCCTGGGGCCCAGCACTCCCCATCTCCCAGGTTCCCACTCAATAGTTACCAATGGCCAACAGGGCAGGTGCATGTCCTCCCCTCCCCTCCCCTCCCTCGGGTCTCTGCAGACAAGCACCAGGCAAGGCGAGCAACAGCTCTGTAATGGGAGAGAGGGCTCTGTGAGTTCACAGCTCTGTGACCTCTGCCTGTCATAGGCGGCCTTGGAGCCCCCTTTTACAATCTTTTCAAAGACTTAAACGTGGGAGTACACAAAGTGCCCTTAATGGAAGGTCGCGCTGCCTTGTGTAAAAAGCTGTGTAAACTTCATCTCTGCATTTACTCAGCACCAGCCTTGTTTAATTTCCTGCCCGGGGATGTGCAGGGAACGTGATCAACCCTCTCAGGGCTCTAAGTATCTTTCAGAAAATCAACTGCGGCTTCCCCATCAATACCAGAGGACCTCCCATAAAGGGAAATACACCCCCTCCAACTCTGTCAGAAGAAAAGGCAGCTTGACAGCCTGCTCCTGGAGAGATGGGTTGCACACTCCCAGGCTGTGGAACTTGAGGCTCCCACCATGACCCGGCCCTGTGATATTGGGTTCCACCTCTTGCCTGGGGTACACAGGGGTATGGCAGTGCCGTCCCAGACTGCAATGTGGGAGATGAACCTGTGCCCTGTGTTCAGTTTGTGGACAGAGGCATGAACAGCAGCTTCCAGGACCACTCTGCCATGAGTGATGACTCAAGTGAAGTCAACGGCACGGCTTTGGTAGCCAGCTCTCTCCGTGCCAGGTGGGAGGAGTGAGTGGTCCAGGTGACCTAGGGTCAGAGATGACCTTTGTCTCCACATGGGCCTGTAGCGATGCAGGGACCCTCCTTCCACACCAAGCCCTCTTCCTATACCCCTGTTCCAGAGCCACATCCTTGAGACACAACCTGCTTCCAGAGCAGGGAAATCTGTCTGCTATCAAGCCTTCCTTTACAACCCAAAGGCCTTGTCCTGCCCAGAATGGCACTAGGACCCCCCACCTGAGCTGCCCATGCAGCTGTAGGAGGCCTACTGCCAGGGCTCTTATCTAACCAGGTGGTACTCACCAGAAATGGGCACAGCAGGCTTTGCCACTTCCTATGCTCAGGAGCGAGTTCCAGGCTAAGCCCCAAACCAAGCTACCCAAGCCTTTCATGAAAGCCACATAGGACCCAGAATAAAGCCTCCATCCAGCCCCTATGCTGACCACCATATAGCTAAGGGACCAGTGAGGCCTGTTGTAGCTTGACTGTCAGATCCCACCTCCTATGCAAGCTCTGTAATAAATAGTCAGGACTACAGAGAAAGGGAGTCCTACCCCAGCTATTGTAGCCCTGGGCCTGTGAGAGTGTCCTGTGCTGTCAGGGATACATTCTGGCACCTCTCAGAGGCAGATTTCCCATCTGAAAAGTGAGTTGTTGGTCTAGACAGTAGCCAAATGTAGAGGCCCAGGGACTTGTGTCCTTTCAGCACAAGGGTTGTTTGCCAGGACCAAGACTGTCTAAGATGGCAACCAAGCTGGGGTGGGCAATGTTGATTCCTGTTATCCCCTAAAGTTCACAGAGCTCCCTCCTGGCCTACAGAGGCTCGGCAGAATCCCCCCCCCCCCGCCCAAGGAACTGCAGAGACCCCTGGAGCACTTTAAGGTACACTATGAAGACTTGGGACCGCCATTTTGGGTCAGACAGAGATTGTGCAGAGGCATGTCTGCAGCACAGGGAAGGGCTCGTGAGGATGGCCTCTGGCTGGGCACACCTTGTCAGTCCTGCAATATTGCCTGTGGCCAAGTCCAAATTTGGTGGGGACAGAGGAAGAGCTAGGTCTCCCTCTGTCTCCCACAACTGGTGAAGCAGAGTTGGCGCTGAACTGAGAGAGACATCTAGAATGTGAAGCTGAACATAGCACCTGCCCTTGTACACCATGATAGCCACTGTCTGCTCCGGTCCTGTGCCTTATTCTTCCAGCCGGCAGGCCCTGGGTCTGGCCCATGCCCATGGGGTGTGGCAGCTGGGTGTTCGCCTCTTGCATGAAGCAAACCCTTGCCGCCGCTACCCCCAGTCCCATCGACTGCCCCCTTCCATTCTGAGCAGACCACGACCTTTCCCAGGACTGTCAATCTGAGGAGGCGATGGCCAGTTCATGGTCTCTTCTTTCCTCTTCATGGGAGAGCAGAGCAGGCAAGGGTTGCCGAGCAAGGGGCCAACTCATGTGGGAGCTGAGCACTCACAGACCAGTGTTGAATGGTTCTTCCGTCCATTTTGCCCTGGCCTTGAGCAATGGGCGGCCACTGGGGCTCTATGCAAACTGGAGGGTGGGGAGAGCATAAAAGAGAGGGGAAGAGGCAGGTGTGCTTTCTGACGGAGACCATCTTAGAGAAGGAAAGGGTCTATTTCAGCTCACTTCCTGTCACAGTGCATCACCTAGGGAAGTCAGGCCAGGAGCTCAGCCTGGAGGCAGGAACTGAAGCAGAAGCCATGGAGGAACTCGGCTTCCTGGCTTGCTTCCCTTACGCCTGCTCAGCCTGCTTTCTTGTGCAAACCAGGACCGCCTGCCCAGGGATGGCACAGCACACCTCCTGCAAAATCATTATTCAAGAAAATGCCCGGCAGACATGCCCAGAATCAGTTTCTCAGTTGAGGTTCCCTTGTGAGATTACCAGATGACTCTAACTTGCGTCGAATTGACAATAATAATAATAATAATTAATTGGTAATAATAATAATAATAATATAGTAATAATAACAATAATCAGGACACCTCCGTGAGCGAATGTTCTACCCGATGGTCTGTGGTTGGTCATGAATCAGTCTGCACCCCCACAGAGCCCACAAACTGGGCCTGAGCCCAGGCTGTGGAGTTTGTGCAGCCTTGGAAGTGACATTCTCAACCACTCTGCCCTGAGAGCCAACTCACTGTGGACATCACAAGCATGGACGCCCGGCCGGGGCAGCCCAGGTTCAAATCCCAGCTCCTTCAATCCCGGGCTTAGGCTTTGCAGGTGGGGAGGAGAAGCAGATGGGAGGAGGAGTGAGAACCCCACCACCCTAGCATCCTGCCCTGTTTCTTTTTCTCTTTTTCCCTCTCCTCTCCCCAGTATCCTCCTTGGCTAGTGATGAAAGGCGGGCAGGTCACAGTACTGTCCTCTTCCTTTCTGACCCTCATTCATTGGTTCGCAGCCTCTCTCGGGGCAGTGCTGCAAATCCTGCCACCTCCCCGCCTCCTGCCCAGGACAGAAGGCGCTCGGTAGCTCAGGCAGGAGCTCAGCTCAGCGGTGGGAGCACGTGAGGACAGGCTCACCACACACCAGGCATCTCGACAAGGACCCGAGGCTGCGGGACCGCTCCAAAAGGCCACCGCACCCAGGGAGGCGGAGAATCCGCGAGGACCCGGCGCCCAGCGCAGAACCCCACAGAGCTGCTGCTTGTGCTCACCTGCACCCTTCGCAGCTGCAGCCCAGGGGTGCTCCGGAGCTCAAGAGCGGCTGTAAAGCCCTCTGAGACCCGCCAGGGGCTAGGGATGCTGTCCTGGTAGCAACAGCCAGAAGCGGGAACGCCGGAGGTCCGCCGTGGCGGAGCATCTGAAGCGGCGGACGCCCCCTGTGGTCTCAGCGACCTCGCCGCCCGCCGGGCACCGATTTCCCCTCCGATGCGCACAGCTGGGCGGGAGGGGAGCGCCATGGAGGCTCTGAGCAGCACCGGTCTGCAGCAACAGAAGTGAGGTGGTCCGGCTGGGGTCGGCGGGACCCGCGGATCATGTACGGCGACGTGTTCAACGCCACCAGCGGCCCGGAGGCGGCGGGAAGCGGTGCGCTGGCCCCCGGAGCCACGGTCAAGGCAGAGGGAGCTTTGCCGCTGGAGCTGGCCACCGCGCGTGGAGTGAGGGACGGCTCGGCCACCAAACCCGACCTGCCCACCTACCTGCTGCTCTTCTTCCTCCTGCTGCTGTCCGTGGCGCTCGTCGTCCTCTTCATCGGCTGCCAGCTGCGCCACTCGGCCTTCGCCGCGCTGCCCCACGACCGCTCGCTGCGCGACGCCCGTGCGCCCTGGAAGACGCGGCCGGTATAGGGCGGACGGAGTCTGGGCCGCGGGGCTCTTGGTCGTTAGCATCCTGGAGAGCCTCCAGCAGGAGCAAGGCAGGGTGGCTCTGGAGTCGCTGGACCCTGGAACACTTCGCCTGGACCCAAAGACCCTTTCGGACCTGGAGAATAAGGGCTGGAGGAGGACGTGTTAGAGGTTGCGCGGGGTCCTGGCCCCAGTGCCTGGAAGTACTCCCCACGCGCGTCCTCCCTCCAGCCCCTCCAGCGGTTCCGCCAGCAAACCACCATCCGGAAAGATGCGTACCCACCGGAGCCCAGGAGCCTTGCCTGCCTGGTGAGTTCCTGGACTTTTTGCTCGCAGAGGGGCAGCAGGCACTGCGAGCTAGCGCGGGACTAATCAGGGGGCTGACTGTCCGGGCTGAACTCCTCTGCCCTATGGCTGCCCTCGGCAGCTGCATCTCTTGCTCCGTGACACTGGGGATCCGCTGAAGAAATGACGCGAGGTTTCAGTGTGTCCTATTCGGGTTCTCTGAGAGCAGGGGCTAAGGGGGCCGGTGGAGGGGCAAGTGATCCCAGCGGCTGCGTCTCATGCCCCCGTGGACCACATTTCTATGGTAAAAACTCAATAAATTAGATCCAGCACTGAGAACACTGATCATTGGTTGCACCGTCTTGGAAAGGGAGTATGAGCTAGTCCATACCCAGCAGGAAAAGACTCAAGGTAGACCCAGCTCCCCTGTGAGGGCCAGGTCAGTCTGGGTGTATCTCCTTTCTGGTTTTCCCTAGCCTTCCCCACCACCCACCCCTGCTCTGGAAAGTGTTTGGTTTTGTTTTCTGTTTTCTGGCAGATTCCAGGGATAACTGCCCCCTGATCTGTTGAATAAATTCCTGCTAACAGGACCCCATGGAGACCCTCTCTGCGGGCCAGGTCCTTCCTTCACACCTTTGCTCACAGAGCTTTCTCACCCCTGAAGCTTTCTGAACCAGAGCTAGAGCTTGGCCAAGGTAGGTCCTGAAAGGACAGGGCAGCACAACCTCCCAAGCAGACAGAAGCCAGTCCCGAGAACCCCACAGGATCCAGTGCTTGGGGATGGGGGCAGAGAACTAGAGGGGGAGGAGACAGGTCTGAGGAGACAGGTCTGTGACGACCTTGGCTATTTTCTAAGTTAGCCTAATTCCAGGGAGGTGGTTTGTTTATATGCCTGGCTGGCCAGGAACTCAGGTAGGTCTGCCTGCCTCTGCCTCTTGACTGCATGGTAGCATGGGCTACCATGCCCGGCCAGGAAGTTATTTGGATGGGGCTGTAAAATACTTCCAGGAGTCACCTGGCTTGAAGAAGTTCACTTCGCTTGAGCTTAAGAGATGTTTTTATTGAAAAAGAATTTGACACATTGAGCCAGTTAATTCTAAGCCAGGCTGGAGTCTTGAGAGCCTTGTGAATCTGAAGGAGGAAAAACACATTTGCCCCCACCCAAATGCACACGGAGAGAATTCTGCAGCGTGTATAAGGGCTTTCAGGCATATTCGGAGGGCCAGGCAGGAGGCTCTGTGACACCAGGCAAGACTAGGAAGCCGGGGAGGTAGCGGGAGGAACCAGGTAAGCTCCCAGACTTGGTTACTCACACAGCCAGGCTCGTCCTTGTCTGGATGCCTCCTCTGTCCTATCTCCTCTTAGCGTCTCAGGTTGCTATTCGGAAATGGAGCCAAACATCTTCAAGTCTCCTATAAGGCTAGCCCCGCTGACCCACAGGCACCTTGGTTGCAGAGAAGACCATGAGGCCCTAGGGGGCCTTACCAAGATCACATGTTCAGGGCTGGGGGCTGGGAGACACGGGTATGGTATGGGAGATGGATATTCCTCTACTACATCCTGGAGGTCAGCTTCAGAGGTGCTGTAATGAGAAGCCAAGAGTTTCGGGCTCTGTTCTAACCCTCTGGCCATGAATGCCAACTTCTCTGTCAAAAGCCCTATGACTTTGCATGCACTGCTTAACCTATGATCTGTGTCCTTTTTTGTGAAATGGGTATCATGCCCCCTAGCTCTGTCAGGTAGCATTGAGCCAGTGTCACAGCCTGAACAACACAGGTACAAGTGGGTTCTCAAACGTTAACTATTCTTGTGATTGAGACATAGACTTGAGGCAGCGCCACTGAGGGAAGAAGCTGACTCCTGGACAGGATGTGTTCACTTACAGCCCAGTCTTCCATGGCCACAAGAAAAAGCAAGAGGCGGTCCCCTCAGAACATGACTGAGTAACTGGCTACAAAGCCTCCTGTGGCTCCTACACTATCAGCTATAGCCACAGGGACCCAGTACCACTGAGATTCATTTCTAAAATATGGATGGGTGTCAAAGGGTGCTTGCCTCAGGCACAAACAAACTCGCAGATAACTGGAATCTAGAAAGCAAGCTGAGTCAGTAAGAGCACTGTATGCCTGAAAACTCCATTCCATTTTCTAGGGTGGCGTCACGCTGGCTGAGCAGTAATGTTTCTTCCTCCTGTTGGACCTGGATTCCTCCCCACCTCCCAGCCCCAAGTAACAGAATGTGACCTAGTTGTCCTCTGCTAATATGTAAGCGAGTGGACTACAGTGTGATTACAGTTTAGGTGGTACTGTGGACTGAAAATGTATGTTCTCCCCACATCACAGTGTGATTACAATTTAGGCAGTACTATGGACTGAATTATGTATGTTCTCCCCACATTCGTATGTTGAGGTCCTGACTCCCAGAATGGCTGCCTTTGCAGTACGGAACTGGAGCTTCATGAAGTCATAGGTGAAGCTCTGGCACTCCTCCTTGCTCCCTGTTGCTGAGAAGGCTCTGGGAGCACATACAGAGATGCTGGCCATCTACAAACCCTCATCCAAAACTGAAACTGGACTTCCAGCTTCCAGAACCATGGGGAAATAAATTTTTGTTGTCTAATCTATCAAATGTATGGTATTTTGTTTCGGCAGCCCAAGTTTAAGGCAGTTGGCTATCCAGACACTAGATACAATCACATGTCCCTTTCTGCTTTTGCGATCCTAATCCCAAGCTGCAATGGAAACAATTTAAGAGCGCTAGGTGTGGCAGCCTAAAAATAGGAAGGGACCCTGTCATGGTGTTTGTGCTTCCCCACAGAAACAGCCACTGGAAGCAGAAGCGTGTTAGCACGAAGGCATTCCAACACCACAAGTGAGAATAGCACTTGGGTACAGCAGATAGGGCCCAGGGAGAGATAACAATGCGGACCAAGAGCCTGAGGTCTGGAGCTGACCTGAGTTTGCTCCTACATGCTACACCTGAATCATACCTAAGAATCCCTGGTGCCTATTTCCTCTGCTATAAAATGGAGGTGAGAGCACTGCCCTGTGAGACTTTCAACACAGGCATTTCAGGTCAAGCGCTCAGCTCATATTGGATGTTGGATGTGCCTGAATGTGGGCTATGCAGTCAATCAGGATGCTGGTTCCAGAAGTGCTTACAGCAGGACAGACCGCTTCCCACGAGAGACCTGCAGTCTCCTCACCCATGTGGAGTAAGGTGGTGGAGGTCTGCATGGCCCAGCATGCCTGCCCAGGGCAGGGGCAGCTGGACTTCATCTATTCTCATAGCTTCCAGTGCTGCTCAGAGGGCTTTCTCCAGCGTACCTGAGGGGCTGTGTGACCCACCGGGGCATTGCACAGAAAAACTCAAGGCTAAGACCATCCCCTTTACAGGTTTCTTCAGCATTTTCAATATTAACTACATCAGCATATGAATGCCCAAGGTTTAAAAGAAAAAAAGCAAAACCATGGTGGTCATTTCATCTGCTCATATGCAGAGGTGATCTGCTAGACGCCTTTCTACCACATCAAACCCCTCCACCATTGCCACTCAGCAGTCAGGGCGTCACAGCCTTTCATCTGCCTCTAGTCAGATTGCAACATCTGCCTCCGGTGCCAGCTTACATGCTAATGGCTTCTCCTTTCTCTCCTGATTAAAAACAAAACCCTCAACTTTGCCTACATGGCCTAGAACCTTCCAGCCCACAGCCAGCCTCACGTTCCCATGTTCTTGAACTTGCAGCCTTCAAATCCCTAAGACCTTCCTGCATTAAGCTGCTTTCTCTTCCCTCTGGCTAATGCTTTCTTATCCTTCTCATTTCTAATCTTTGTCAAAACTCGCCTGAGCTTCCCAAACTGATAAGTTATATTCTCGGCTAGCCCAGCCATCGGGGAGATGACTTACAAGGGTATGAACTCAGCTGAACAGGACAGATTGCAGAAAGCACAGATTGCCCATTTCCCCACTGTCTGCTCCTGGCTTATTACCTCATTCCACATTCTGAAAGTGTGGGCATTTCAAACTCACTGTATTTTGACCTTGACTCCAGACTCAAGTGTTTTCCCCTTTATGAACCTAATGAGAGCTATGACATGACTGTAATTAGCCTGTCTCTTCCCCACAATTGCATGCAGTCATATGAGATCAAGACATCTGCCTTCCTCACCATTTTCTCTAGATGCCCAGCATTTTTTTAAATCACAAAACAGGCACTCAAGTAAGCATTTGTTAATTATTCTGGGGAGGAAACAGCTAGGGATTGAGGTGAGTCTTACCTGTGGTTTTTCACCTTAAACTAAACCTGTATCTGACAAGATACTGAGCTGAATTGTTCCTCAGTGACTGGGCCTCAAAGCAGCTTGTTTCCTGAAGGTGGTAGCTCAGTGTTAGCAACTAGCATTTCCAGTCTCTGTGTATGTAACACTTCAGTTCTCATTATTACCTCCCTCGGAGACTGAGTACGGGTTTCAGACGGTAGTACATGTCCTATTTTTGCTTTCAACTCCACTTCCTGAAGGGAAGAACAGATCTTAGCATTATTGCTCCCAATCCTTCTCAACTGCCTGGAACAGCAATGATCAACTGACTTCCTGGACTTCAACCCAGAATTGGCTTTTCACTGAGATCTTTCCCGGCTACTAAATCTACAGTTGTTATTCCCCACCATCCCTTCCCAACATCTTCTCCTTAGAACTTGCCAGTAAACACGCCTATCATTTACCTTGTCTGCTGTCTCCATCAACAAGAATAAAGATGTACAGAAAAAGAATCTTTTCTCATGTGCTCACAGTAACACAGGTAACGGTTCTCAAGATCAGAAAAAGGTAGGCTGGGCAAAGGGAGCACAGGTGCACACAGGGAGAAGAGGTGAAGCCCCCCTGCTGTGGTTCAAGCAGGCAAAGCAGGATGATTTCACTCAAGCCTTTCCTCTGAAGTCGTTCATTTGTGTTTGCATTTACCTCCACATTCTCTGGCATCACTCAGTTGGCCTAACCAATTCTAAGGTTAATGAAAAATTTCACAGAAGACTGAGGAGATTAATTGTAAGATGTTAATGACACCTTCTGAACTAATGTTGACACAACTACAATTGGCCCAAATGCTGCCCGAGTCCTCCCGGCCTTTATCATCCACATCACCTCCACCAAAACTTTGGAACTCTTGGAGGCCTTGGAGGCGTTCTCTGTAGCATGCCAATGAAGTGCCATGAAATGCCTCCCCTGCCTGCAACAGTCAGGAGAATCCTCGTGGTCTAAGCCAGAGTGCAAAGATCAGAGCGCATTCACCTCTAGGCTCTAACGAGTTCACGTGTCTCTTCTGGTTTTCTGTTGTCAAACACTTCAGGGAAACTGTGCCCTTTTACTTCCTCTGAGAGAACAGCAAATGCCAAAAGGCGAAAGCACCAGCAGCAAACACCTGATTACCTCAGGGCAAAGGTCCAAGGGTTCACAGAGGAAGAAGGGATGAAATTTCTTACCTGAATTTCTTTGGAGATATGGTGAACTGGAGTCAACTTAATTAAAAATCGCCTCATTACATTACCTAACAGGGGAGCTCTAATGTTGAAATGACACCCAGCTTCAGTATTCTGTCAGTGACAGCAGACTACACACTCGGGGGCTGCTCCAGCAGGCGGTGCGGGTCTGTCTGCAGACTTTCATGTTGACACAGCAACCTGGGTACTAACAGCAGCCTGTCTGTGATGCTAGGGGAGTCTGGGGCAACCCTGGGCAACCACTCAAGGTGTCCTCATGCTTGGTGCTAGGGGTCCGTCAGATGGTCTTTGGCTCTCGGAGGGGGCACTAGCATCCCGGACGAGGACATTTTATTTAAACTACGTATTTAAACCCAGGCTTACACCTGTTACAGGTTTTCTTGGTTAGCAGTACGATCTCTTGTTTTCAGACATCTTTGCTGTTATTTTTCCTTCCTCTCTCCTGTGTTTAATCTCCCTCCTCCCTCTCCACTTAGAGCACCACCCACAGTCAGATCACTGGTACCTCTTTCTTTCCCTTTTGCTCCCCTAACTCTGGCAGCGGTCCTCCCTGTACTTTCCTGGTTTCTGCGGTTACTCCAGGATATGTTCCACCTGAAGGTTTGGAGCCAAGAGCCCCCAATAAGAGAGAAGATGAGATATTTCTATTTCTAGGTCTAAAGTTGCCTCACTCAATATAACCTTTTCTAGCTCCACCCATTTACCTGGAAAGCTCAGGGTTTCCTTTTCTTCGCAGCTAAATAGTATTCCAGTGTCTATGTACCACATTTTTACCATCCAGTCCATCAGCTGAAGGTCATCATTTAGGCTACTTCCATAACCTAGCTATTGCAAATAGAGTAGAAGGGAACATGGCAGAACAACTGTATGTTGGGTCTTTGGGGCACGGGCTGGGTTATCTGGTAATGTATTTTTCACTTGAGAATTCTCACACTATTTCTGCACTTTTTGCCTGAACACGAGCTGAGCGGGGACAGCAGACGTGCCCACATGGACAGACAAGAAACCATGAGAACCCAGCTTTTCACACAGAGCTACAGGAAACGGGGCGATACTGAGTGACAGTGGGACCTTAGCGGTTGCCCAGTGCCAGGTGGCCAGGCCTGAAGGCAGGTATGCAGGTGGCCTGAGCAGGTTATGTCTGGGAGTACAGATGTATGGGTATATACCGATGAGCATATAGTAACAACTGCTAACGAGAAAGAGGGCCACGGTCTGCAGGAGGGCAGAATGAGGTTGTGGGGGGACTTGGAGGGAGAGAAGTGGGAAGGGATATAATTATATTGTAATCTCAATACTAACAAAAAAAAAAAAAAAAGAAATTGGCATCAAACCAATTTTCCTGAGAACCCAAGGTGGGGGAGGGGAGTGCCACTCATAATCTGGGGCTGGGAAGAAGCCACAGTGAATACGTGCTATGCAACTATGAGGGCCTAAGCTCAGATCCCAAGAACCCACATAGAGCCGTGTGTGTGCGTACGTGTGCATGTGTGTGGTGACAGTGGGCAGACAACAGAATGCTCCCAGGGCTGCCAGCCAGTCTAGCCAAACAGTGAGCAACAGGTTCGGTAAGCGCTCCCGTCTCAAACAATACGCTGGGGAGTGCCAGAGAAGACAGCCAAGATAACCTGTGGCCTATGGAGGTGAGCACTCATTTGCCCACACAGGGGCATACCCTGTCACACACACAGTGTCACCCAGAACCAGCTACAAAATTGTCAAAGGAAGCAGAGGACCAATGGTGAGGCACAGATCCCAACAGTGAGTGAACAGACCAGAAGGGCACACGCCTAAACGTCTAAGTGCTTAGCTGCCGGTTTGGAAGTATATGCTTTTCTGTGCTGTTAAAGTTCTCAGAATTTACTTTGGGCAAAATACTCCTTAAAACAAGACAAATAGAGTTTATTGAATGAAGAAGGGCTGGAGATTAAGACAAAGTAAAAGAAATTTTCAAAATCAATCAGGGGCACTATAGCTCATCTGAGTATTGTCTGCCTAACATGCACAAAGTCCCAGGTTTGGTGGGCACAGCCTGGTGGGCCATGTCTGTGATCCCAGCACTCAGAAGCTGGAGGCAAGAGGGCAGAACTCAGGCTCAAGAAAAAAAAAAAAAAAATCCACCCAAATATGAATGAACTGCCCCAGGACATAGCTCTCACCAGAAATCACACAAATTTCCCTCTCAATACAACATGGATTATAAAGAGTCCTAAACACTAGGCAAAACCCTCTCACCCTTTCCGATCGAAATACTCTTAAGTTTGAGAGAGTTCAAGATGCTAACATCTCATCTTTAAGATTTCCCTATCACCCCAATACCTTTAAGGCAGCAAAATGGAAGAGGAAAGATTTAGGCTGAGAGAAGATTTTTAAAAAAATTAGAATTACAGACTTAACAAAACTAGTTGTAGTTTAAACAGGGAGGACATTTTGAAAAATCCTCTTTCCACCATATATTCATAGTTTTAAATAAAACTTGAAGACTGCCAGCTTGCCAGCGGCCTTCTCAGACACACTTCTGAAACATACGCATCATGAAAAGCGCTGTCTCGTAGACTGGCAGCATCCCTGTTTGGGTCCCAGCAACCTGAAACTAATGTCAGGCCTAGAGAAGCTGGCATTGAGGTGCAGAGTGTGCTAAATTAACCAAAGGATTGCTACAAAACACCTCACCAACTGCCCTCTAAATAAAACACTCCGGACTGGCTTGCAGAATTCCTCTAAGAAAGCATTTTCTCTAAAGAATACTTTGTTTTTTATTTATTCTCTTGGGAATAACGAATTTAGTCAAAGTTTCCTCCTTCTGGTCATGGTGCCTGCCTATATGGCACCCGGGGGAGGTGCACAGCAGAGGTGGGTTCACAGAAGCTAAAGCTCGCTGGGCCAGAGGGTTAGGGCACATTTGCCAAGTCTGAAGATCCGAGCTTGATCCATGGATCCACAGGGTGGGAGAAGAAAACCCCTTGTCATTTTCTGACCTAGACAAGCACATTATGACATGACTGCCAATACACACGAATACACAAAATAAAGATGTTAAAAAAAAGTAGATCATTAACTAATAGTTTATCAACCAAGGACAAGGTCACCTAGTATTAGAAATAACTGCCTTAAATCAAAATAACAAAATTTAACAATTTTAAGAATTATTTTATATTAAGCAGTAGTCTAAATACTTTGCATTGTTTCGTTTAATTCTGCTATGAAGGAGATTTTTATTTCATAGATGCAAACACTGAGGCCCAGAGTGGTTAAGCATCCGGCACAGAGCCATAAGGCATAGGACTCAAGTACCAGCAGCAGGCACACTATACCATGGAACCTACAACCGGCTTTGTTAAGAAGGGCCCCTCATTTAGAAGTGAGTTGTAGAAACAGTTCCTGATTAAAAGTAAAACACCCCAGAACAGGCCTCAACCCTTCAAAGCAGAACACAAGAAAGAAAAAGATAGCAACTCACATACAAACAGAATGGACAAAACTCTCTCTCTAAGCAGAGCTTATGGGCACCGGGCAAGGGTGTGCATCCATGGTCTATGCATCTCCTGCCAACACACCTGACACTCCGCATCACCCTCACCCTCCTCAGATCATCAATCTGTGAATCACGAATCAAGGCAAAGTACAAGAAAACACACAAAATGAGACACTGTAAGATTTTTAGGTTTATTAAAACAAAGTATTAGCAAACAATATGCAAAAAAAATTTTAAGAGTTATGGCTTTGAGAAGCACAATATAGTAAAACCTAATACATTTTTATAGGCATCAAAAGGCAACAGAGCTGAAGCATGCTGCGGGCTGTTTTCTACAGCACAAACAGAAGCAGAGCCATACTCATAAGCGGACCTACGGTGCTGCCATCTGTCTGCTCTTCACCATCCACATGTGAGGCATCTTCCTCAGAGAAGGTGGACAGGTGAAGACAAGTATTCACTCTCCATGATTACTCTCTTAGCCAAATTTAAACAACTTCAAGTTTAAGCAGCCATGTTAAGGAGTAGCACTGCCCAGCTGCCGTGCCTAAGACTCCCTACTCTTTGGCTCCTTTGTGGGAATGCCAAAGCATCCGTATCACCGATGGTACCAAAAGAACATGGCCAACTCTAGACAGCCTTCTTTCAAAAGAACTCAGGACTCTGGCCTAACTGTAGTGTTGTTATGGCTGACATAAGTTGACAGTAAGAAAGGCGTGACCTACGGTGGGGGCACGCAGGTGTCCTACCTGCCCACAAAATTCTCAACTTTTTAGAAAGAACAACGTCCCACAAAACCTTAAACAGTAACTGTGCTGACTTAGAACTAGGTTACGTGGACAAGGAATAAAGCAACCTCTCTCTCTCCTGAGGGCAGCGTCTGCTCTAGGACTCAGCACACACCGAACAGCAGCCGTCACCAACTCAATGGTTTAACAAGTAGTCTGACTTTTTAAACACGTCACTGCATTTCCTTTCCACGCTTCCCACACACCATCCAGCTGTAGGTTGTCACTTCAGTTCAGTACAGGTGTGTCCTGGGCATTCTGTGCAGTGTGGGGGCTGATCGCAGGGCTTTACCTGCTAGGTAAGTGCTGTACCACTGACACACAGGGAAATGAGCGATCCAGTGACAAGAGGCCTGATGACACTGTTAGTTTTGTTATCAACACACATTCCATTGCAATCCAGCCAGGTCCACAGAACTGTCCAAATGTCTGTCCATCAGCTAGAATTCTGTTAGTGTACAACAAATGCCTTGAATTTTCACTTCCCAACATGTATCATTTTAACAAGAAAAACTCAGAACCAGTATCTTCCAAAGGTAAAATCTTACTGCTGTGAGGGAAATAGCCACCTAACTAGAGAGAACTTTCAAAAAAGTAGCCCTAGCTAATATCTGAGGCCACCTATAAACCACCACTTAGAAAAATGCCCCACTTCCCAAAATCACCAACCACTTCTGAAACCACCAGTTACCTACATAAAAGCTACCAGCTTATTTATCTGTGTTTATATTGAGAACACACATTTTTATTGAGACTCCAGATAGCAGGAGTTACTCGGTAAGACAAAGAAGGCTTCAGACAAAACTAATAGATCTAAATGCAAACCATCATCAGGGGCTGAATTTTAAAAATTGTCAGAGGTCACTGTACCCAGAAGCACATGCCTGCAATCCCAGAACTTCAGAGGCAGAGGCAAGAGAATTACTTCAAGTCTGAGGCTAGCGTACACAGTAATTTCTAGGTTAACTAGGACTATATAGAGAGACTGTGTCTCAAAACAACAACAAATTAAAAAAATAAGAGAATAACTTTTGAGTCTTTCATATTCAGGAAGCAAAAGGAGACAACAGTGACAATGGTTCAAGTCCTACCCGGGAAATGACTAGAAAACCTGAGAAGATGCAGACCTGAGGCACCTTGGTGCTCTCTGCAGCATGAGCAGGAAGCAACACTGTGACGCGCTGTGTCCTGCATCAGTTAAGATTTATCAACTCTCTCATCCCAAGGGCACTTCTGGTGGGGGAAGAACATGTTTCCCATGGGTCCTCTTGGACAATAGGGAGACTATGTAAGGTAAGCCACAATTTTTACTTTTGACAGTGTATTTTATATTGCAATGTTACTGTCATTTACATCCTCAGAGGGTGTCTAACTTTCACATGCTATAGAAATGGCACATTTCCTATCTGCATCATTAGTGTAGCTTCAAGTGTTGTATTCAGCAATCTTAGCACGAGTTTCACCTCAGCAACTCAGCCACTTCTACAACCCCTTTTCTTATACCAGCAACCATGACACACACACACACACACACACACACACAAAGAATTCATATTCTGTTCTATTTGTTTGCTCTTTTACTTTCCTCCCCGCCCCCAGACAGAGTCTCTATGTAGAACTCGCTCTGTAGAGCAGGCTGGCCTCACACTCGGCGCTCTGCCTGCCTCCGCCTCCACAGTGCTGGGAGCAAAGGTGTGCACACTACCACCCCGGCTGTTTGCCATTTTAAAGCTGCCTTCTTCCTCCAGTTTTCTTGAAAGCAAAGGAGCAATTCTGGAAGGCCAACAACATAAATTCAACTCAGTAACACCAACCAGGCCATCATGGGATGCTGCAGACGCACTAGTCAAATGCACCTCTTGATCCTGCTTTTTCTTTAAAAAAAAAAAAAAAAAAAAAAATTAACTTTGTTTTTTTTTGAGACAGGGTTTCTCTGTGTAGCCCTCACTGTCCTGGACTCACTCTGTAGACCAGGCTGGCCTTCAACTCATAGAGATCCGCCTGCCTCTGCCTCCCCAAGTGCTGGGCCCACAGGCATGTGCCACCATGCCCAGCTGGTCCTGCTTTTTCTACCCAATATGTTGTTGCTGTAATTGGTGACTGAGATTTTGATTCTGCCATTTGCAGGATCTATCAAACTGATGTGGTCTTTACTATTTATGAATCAATCTTTCTACTTGGCATATACTAACAAATTTTGATGCTAACACTGTGATGCTGAACGAGGGCTGCCGCTCAGCTGGCAGGGCACTTGTCTAGTATAAAGTCCGACTAATCCTCAGTACCACAGAACCTGGGTATGCTGACGATGTCTGGGAGCACTTGGGAGGTACAAACTAGAGGATGGGATCTCAAGGTCAGCCTCAGCAACTTGGCACATTCAGAACCAGCCTGAACTACACGAGTCTCAGATATAGAGACTGAACCAGCACTGCTGTTCTAGGTGCAATGGCAACCATGCCTTACAGGAATACAAAATTAATGCCACAGTGTTCTGAGATGGCTTCTTTATGGGCACTGTTCTTTGCGGGCCAGAACTCTGCATTTGTTTTGCTTTCATCTTAGAAGCACTTTTTTCCTACCTACAGACATATGGATATCCTCAGACATGAGCAGCTAGACTGCACAGTTTTCATTCACAGACCACATAACAGGCTTGGATTTCTCCATGACACTCTGAACAGCTAACAGTGTCAGCCCTGCCATTCCACAGAAAGCAAATCACATGGAACTCTGCAACCCTGAGGGCTGGGACAGGATAATGTCACATAGAGAACATATAACCCTCTTGTGAAACAAAGCAAGCAAGGCACATGTTTTCAGACTTCAGCAGAGCTCGCTGACATGAGCCTGCATTCAACTCAAGACACACTCCTACAAACTTGTTCTTAGAGACTCAGCCATGAGCTTGCTAAGGAAAGGAATTATTAGCAGTTCCTGCATTACACTGTCAAGCAGACAGTTCTCTTTCATGTGGTTGACACACTCCTGCTATGGAATTAAAACTCAAGCTACTGAAGCCTAGCAAAGCACTTCCTCGGAAGGAGTAAGGCTACCCAAATGGCTGCACTCTGAAAGGCAATAAATAATAACACAGAAAACAAAAGGAATCCTACCCTCTCATCCCCTATCCCCTGCCCCCCCCAAAAAAAAAACCCCTCTGTTTTACTCATAAAGGCAGGATGGGCACTGTAAAAAGTCAAACCAAAGTAACATTTCAGCAGAACAGAGTGGCTCTGTATATTTTCAAAAGGCACCAGAAAATAAAGCTTCTCACACCAATAGGCAAATTAGGCCTTTTTTTTTTTTCTTTATCAAAGTAATGTCTTCATTCTTAGGCTATAACTGTCCATTTGACTGCTCCCTAGAAAGTGGTTACTGGTTACAAGTCCTAAGGCCAAAGGCACAGTGAACTAAACAGGTGTCCTAAAAGTGTTCACATCCTTTCTCTTAGAAGACGGTGTTCTGAAGACTAGCATCCACGTAGGTTCTAAAAGAATAAAAAGAAAAAGACAGAGCACTGACACCAAGAGAGACAAGTCTACACTTGTTGTTATATGACACTGGGAATGAGCTATCCCAACCCCCACTGACGATTTATTTACTGTCACACCAGCAGTCTCACTCTTAGGGCCCAGCCAAAGAGCTTCCGATGGCTATATTGCATAGGTCCTTGTATGAGAAGTCTGGTAGAAGAACAATGGTATTAAGTACATAATCTTTCAACATTAATAACACTCATAAAACTGTAGAAATTAACAGGCACCTTAGCTGAAGATATAGAATAACGATTTTATAAACTACACTGAAAATTAAAAGCTAGAAAAAGCACCACAGCCTACAACTGTAATCTCTACATGGTAGTGTTGATACAAAGGAGTGCCAAGGAGGTAAAGGGAAGCTCTAAGACCAGGTCACTTGACTGTGTTTTACCAGAGGTTACATTAGAAACTGTCACCCATAAAAGTGCAAAATGTAGCAGGATTGCTGTGATGGCCACCCAGGGAGAGCCGCAGGTCCGCTCAAGCTCATCCTGATGGGCGATGGCGGCACCGGGAAGACGTTCGTGAAGCGCCACTTGACAGGTGAGTTCCAGAAGTATGTAGCCACCCTGGGCATGGAGGTGCACCTGCTCGTCTTCCATACCAACAGGGGATCCATCTAGTTCAACATGTGGGACAGCCGGCCTGGAGTAGTTCGGGGGCCTGCACGATGGCTACTACATCCAAGCCCAGTGTGCCATTATAATGTCTGCTGTAACATCCACGAGTTACTTACAAGAATGTACCTAACTGGCATAGAGATCTGGTACGAGTGTGTGAAAACATCCACATTGTATTGTGTGGCAACAAGGTGGATATTAAGGACAGGAACGTGAAGGCAAAATCTATAGTCTTCCACCGAAAGAAGAATCTCCAGTACTATGACATCTCTACCAAAAGTAACTACAACTTTGAAAAGCCTTTCCTCTGGCTTGCCAGAAAGCTCACTGGAGATCCTAACTTGCCTATCTGGCCCCACCTGAGGTGGTCTTGGACCCCGCTTTGGCAGCACAGCAGTATGATCATGATTTAGAGGTTGCTCAGATGACTGCCCTCCCGGATGAGGATGATGACCTGTGAGAGTGAAGCTGGAGCCTGCAGCAGAAGTCTAGTTTGATAGCAACTGTCCTGTGATGTCATCGGTGCAGCCTGTGTGCCACCTTAGCTAACAGATCGTGTACTTCATTGGGATGCTGAAGGGGATGAATGGGCTTCGGAGTGAATTTAGCTGTTTGGAACAGAGTTGTTTCCTTCCTGAATTTCAAAGATAAGACTGCTACAGTCACATCACAATACTCAGTGGTAAATCTTGTTTGTTACTGTCATTCCCATTCTTTTCATTTAGAATCAGAATAAAGTTGTATTTCAAATTTAGAAAAAAGTGCAAAATGTAAAGATTAATACACAGTAAAATTAGAGTTCTTGAAACATTGGCCCACAGCAGCAAACACAGCTGAACAAGGCCGTGCACACATTATAACTAACTGGTAGTAAAACTTATGGGAAATGTGAGTACATGACATATACTAGAGACTTTTAAGAAGAAAATGCTTTACAGAAGATCTACAGCATGAAGTCGCAATACACTGACAGACGCTTAGCTATACTAAATGTAAATGTATGACATCTACAAACCTACCACCTTGCTTTCACTGAACACTACATTAGCAGTGCAGTGTCCTTCAAAGAAGAGATTCAACAGTTTCCTTTAAGCCCCTACCATATGTTTTTGCAAAACAATGTACTCTGCCTTTTCAAAGGTGTGGGACAAAGAAATTACCAGAAGAGTATCATGTAGCACTTTTCACGATATATGCCCTCTTACAGGGTAAATTTTCATTATGTGATGCACTACTTTGTCAAAAAATTAACAAATTAAAAACTGTTGGGACAACAAGCAAAAAGCATGTTCCAGTTTAAGATCAACGCTAAACTCTCAATGGGGCCCAATACTCTACATTGTTTACAATACTTCTGAAAGTTAAATCACAATGAACACGAATACAAACAAATGTAAATTCATCACAAAATACAAATGTGTTGGTCACAATTAAGTAGAAAAAATAAGCCACAATATCTGTTTTTCCATATCAGCTCACAGTATCTGGAAATTCCTCTAAACTTAAAACAAGTCCACTAAAAATAGAGTTGAAAAGAATACTTCTGCACTACGAAACAGAAGAAATGGGATTCAGTGGAGAGCCCATCTGAGTGAGGACTTTATCCAGCCACTGCAGAGGCCCATGGAGGTGGATCTCAATCCAACATGGAGTACTGGTAACGTCCTGTCGATGGTACTCTGCTCCCCAGCCCTGAAAACGAACAGACAGCAGAGCAAATCCCTCTTGAGCAGTCAAGAATCTACATCAACTTGAACAATAAAAAGCTCAACTGTAAAAATACACAAAATGTACTTAAACTGAACACATACAGAAACCAAATAAGCATTCGATATGGTATTAAAAGACATGGTTGCATTATTCAAAGCTACAAACTTTAATAATTAGCAGAATTTCTCTGATATAGACCATGGGGACAAGTATGTTTCAAAATGTTTTTAAACTTTACACAGGCTACAGATTGTGGTATTTCATGATTAAACTATTTTATAATCTCACTACAGAAATAAAGTCCAAACAGTTTTTTTTTTATACAAAAATTAAGGTTTTTAGAGTTGGGGGCTCCTGTGGTTGTTAGTTTTTATCAGATGAGACAATGTGGCCATTAATCAGTGCGTGCATGGATACAGTTTGCTGTATTCATTACATCAAGCCATTATCCTTACAGGTGAGAGCTTAATGAGATAAAGTAAGCTCCAGGTAGAAACTAAAATATGTGGGGATTTTTTACTTTTATTTTTTTTAATTTAGCAAGTTCTCTGTCTTTCTGATTATAGTAGTCCTGCCCCCAGGGAAACTAGGGGGACTATAGAGAAGAGAAATGGGGCAGGCAGAGAAACTGGAGGAAAAAAAAAAAATAGACAAAAGCCACTTTTTAAAAGAGGAAAGAGAAAGTAAATTCAGATGATCAATAGGCAGCAAGGACTGTGATTAATACCAAGAGAACACAAACAACAACAACAACAACAAAAAAAAAAAAACAGAAGGAGGAAGAGGAGGAAGAAGTGAAGAAGAGGAAGGAGGTGAAGAAGAAGAAGAAGGAGGAGGAGAAGGAAGAGGTGAAGGAGAAGGAGGTGAAGAAGTAGAAAGAGGAGGAAGAAGAGGAATATGCTGCTGTTCCTCCTGGACTAGAAGGCAGTGGCTCCGCCAGAAGAAATCCACCACTATGATTCTCTCAACATTTTGTTAACAAGACACAGTTTTTGGAATGTTCAGTAAAATCAGGGCATGAGAGTGAAGTACAGGCTTTTAAACAGGCCTGAGATTTAGTTCTATAAATCTCCCAAGTCACTGTAATGGAATCTGACGCACTCAAGATGCAATTTTAATATTAAATGCTTTCCAATAATTTAGTCTCCTAACTACAATTGGGTTACTTTGTAAGCCCAATCCTTACCCAATATCAAAATTAATCATGGATTTTTGTATGTAGATTACAAAATGAAGTAACTTGCCATATAGTTAAAATGATAAATTCAAGAATTTCACTTAAATGTATCAAACTGAGTCCAAAGTACTGCTCTCTTCACCTAATTCTTTTTATAATGCACGCATGTTTACAGCAGCTAAAGTCACAGTATAGACCGCAAGCACTCACCTTGACAAAACTCATTCGAATGGTGCACATCTTGGTGAGCTCATACACAGCCTCAAACCCATGGTTGACGGACTGAGCCAGAAGCTGAGCAAACTCCTGATTGTTAAAGATTTTGAGGCTGCAGCTGCTGGGAATCTTACAGACAGTGGTGGGATGGAAGCCATGGTGAAAGTTGCAGTTCCTACTCTGAACAAAGATGCTGCTGTCACTAAGACACTCGGCATACACCTCCCCACCAACGTAGTACAGATGAACACCTTAAAGAGAAGAAAACAAGGGAGCTGGCTTAGCAAAGCACTGTAAGAAGCCACGGGTAATGTAGGGAGCAATCAAAGCACCCAGAAACACTCAGTAAACTTCACAGTGTTCAGATCACAACTACCACCAGGTGGCCTTCGGCAGCCAAAACTAATCTGCCTAACTCTAAAAGCTCCTCAAAGGCCAAGCCTTGGGACTGGAGTGAGCAGGGTTATTAAGCTGTCTGACCCCAGGGTTGGTTTCCTTTTCCAACCATCATTTGTTTCTCTTCAAAGGGAAAGATGTTCTTTAAAAATTTCACTTTATGAGTACTTTCAAAGAAAATCCTTGTAAGTTATTTTGTGATACTTTCCACCCTGCTTGCTGACAGAAAAGAGCACAGCATTCCAAGTATTACCCACAGGAACCCGAACACACATACATGACTTCAGATTATAGAAAGAGCTTTGAAATGGCAGGCTCACTTTCATTTAAGTAGCACGCTTTCATTTTTATTATTATTGTTATTATTATTTTTAATGGAACTGGAGCAATGGCTCAAAAGTTAAAAGGGCTGCTGCTCTTGCAGAGGGTACACTGGATTCCCAGCAACCACATGGAGGCTCACAAAACCTGCATTCCAGTCCCAGAAGATGGCCCTCTTCTGGCCTCTAAGGACACTGCATGTATGTAGTGTACAGAGACCTGTAAGTAAAATACCAATACACACAAAATAATAAAATACAACTTTTTAAAGTTTTCTAAAAATATAAATAGTATGAGAAAGCAATTCTAATAGTAAAATTTAAGCTATATTGATAAAAAGCTGATTCATGAAATACTTTTTCAGTATATCTTTGTGTGCTTCTTGGGAAGGGGCTTTGCTTTATTATTATTTTTTTTAAATGAAACTGGCATTACAGTCTGTTGGTGCAGAAGGACACAGTTGTGCCTCATTCACAGAACAGCATGCCGGCCCATCGCCATATTCTAGATGTCAACTCTCAATGAACAAGTTTCCATGACTGTCCCTGACCATACACAGTACCTATTTTAGCAGGACCTCCAGAGGTGCAAATTTCTGTCACAGACTTGTGTCAGGATAGAGTATTAAAAACTCTGGTTTGCTTCTGAGTAAACAGAAATGGACCAATTCAAAAGACTGCAGAATGGGATTACTGGCAAATAAGTGGAAAGTGATCCTAGCATTCACCAAAGAGGCATCCCTTAAATTATCTCCACCGAAGTGGGAAAGGACAGACAGATCAATAGACAGAAGACACACATTTCACAAAAAAGGTCAGGACAAGTTTGACAATAAAATTAATAAAAATTATTTCTCTGGGTTTTTGTTGTTGTTTGTTTGTTTGTTTCTTCAAGTCAGTCTTGCTATGTAGCCCAGGCTGGCCTTAGCCTCCCAAGTGCTGGGATTACAGGTATGAGCCACTTCCCCTGGCTTCAGGTTATTTTCCTGAATCCTTTCTCTATGAAAGTCTATCACAATTATCATTATCTGCCATGGTGACCATCTCTTGACTAAGACTCGGGTCAAAAAAGCACAGAGCAGCTGGGATGTAAGAGCAGAACCACTCCAGAGACAGCCATACACTCTGCTGAGGTGGTCTCCTCTGATGTGACACTGGTATCCCATGCAGTATGCAAAGTACCACTCTGGCTCTAGCAACTGAGCTTATAAGTGAGCTCTGACGCATGAAGTGTCTTGATGTTCTCACTATTTTCCATCTCAAATCCCATTTCCCCAATACTGTGTTAATCTTACAATAAAAAACACTCCAAGGACATTAATTTCAAATTTCTAATCCCTCATAATGCACACATATTTTGCAAAGATGTATAATGTTATGAGGCAGGCAATGTTCTAGCCACTGAGGATGCTGCTGGCAACAAGGCAGTCTTATAGCCCTTAACAGTCCAGTTGGTTCCTAACTTAATTTCCTAAATGTTAGGATGAATACTCAAGAATTGAACAATAGGATTTCAGATCTTTAGACTAGAAACATAAAGTAAGCAGGATGAGGAAGAAAGGACTGGTCGTGTCTTTATTTGATCGCATTTTTTAATATCTGTAACTTGGGGCGAAAGCCATGCCTTAAGATTTTTCAGATGTTTCCAGAACCGAATTGCACCTACTACAAAAAATTACTTAATCTAACTGAATGAAAAGAAATGACAAGATTACCTTTTCCAATATGTCGCCTAGTGTTTTCAATAGTTGAATTACGATTAACATTTGACAACAATCCCAAGCAGAATCTACTTTTGTTATTTGAAGGGTCTGTGAATCCATCTACTAACACGCTAGTAGAAGATGCATGAAAAGCTTCCCCAACACGGTTGTTTAACTCATAGTAGACAATTGAACACCAGTGTTTGGGCTCTTCATAGGCAACAGGTTGAACATCTGTAAACAGAAAAGATAACTGATTATCTGAAACACCAAGTTCTGTGTAAATTCGCCATTTGTCCTAACCAAGCATTATATGACAAAAAAAAAAAAAAATTCCTTCCTTTAAATTTCACTGACATTCCTGGCTTACAGTCTAAGGCAACTTATCTTGCCCTAGTAAGACAGCTATAATAAAATACCACAGATTGAATGTCAAATTCAACAAATAATAATAAAACTACCCCAATCATTTCTTACAGTTTTTTCTAGAGGCTCAGATATCAAGGTGTCAGCAGGTGTCTAGTGGAGTTCATGTGCACTCCACAATTGCACATGCATGCACACAACGGGTGTGTGTGCGCGCATGCGCGCGTGTGTTGTATGTGCGCATGTGTGAACACAAGTGTGTACATGTGTACAGTAGAGATCAGCAGACAACCTCTAGATGTTGGTTCTTGCCTTCCACTTTGTTTGGAAAAAGGGTCTTTCTTGTTTCTGCTCTGCCAAATATTCCAGGCTAGTTAACCCCTGAAATTCAAGAAATCCTCTTGCATCCACGTCCCATGTCACTGTAGAAGTGCTGGGATTACAGAGTCACACTACAGGCTTTTGTATGGTGGTTCCAGGGCTCTAAAATCAGGTCATCAGGCTTGTCCAAGCAAGTGCTTTTACCCATGGCGCCATCTCCCCGGCCTCTGTATCTAATCATGTAAGGACAAGTAATTCTAGCTCAAGGACCCTAATCTCAGGAATTTATTTAAACCTAATTGCCTCTTAAATGGCCCTATCTCTAGACAGCGTTACACTGAGGGCTAAGGTTTCAACATAATCAGAGGGACTAACAACTATTTCACCCCTGTCTCACATAAACCCCATCTCCCAAGTCTCCAGAGTCTTAGTTCACACCAGCAAAAACTGTAAGGTCCATAGGTAAGCCAGAGGAAAAAATTCTCAGGGAAAACTGCCTCTTCCACTATAACACAGCTGAACTGCAATAAGTTATGCATTGTAGAGACATGTGCTCTAAGCACTCCCACCCATGGCTTCATCCTACTTGACGAAATGATCACCCTAAGGACCAGCTCTTTTGAGCTTACAACCAGTAGCTTAAATGCCCTGTCCTATAAAAGTCTCACAGTCTTCCTTACCTCTCACCCAAATTAACTGTTCCAGAGCTAATGAGGTCCATTTTTCACACCCACAAGACCCCATTATCAAATGTAAACAAAATTCTTAAGTTTCTCTACAGACACACTCTTATTTACAATGTGTATGACATGAAAAATCTCTTAAATCTTAAGTTCTTTTAAAAATACACTTCCCCTTTAATCTTTTTTTAATATTAGTAGTAGTAATTAGGAGAAACCAGTCAATATTTTGTATAAGAATCTCTTCTACTAAAGAACCGATTTTGTATCTCTAAAGCTCCACCCTTCACAACCAGAACATAAACACAATCCAGCCAAGGTGTCACATGTAACAAAGGCGGCCTTTTGCCCATCTTCCAGTGTGTTCCTCAGTTAGGCCTCAAAGCACAAAAGCATCAACCTCAGCACCATTCACAGTAACATTCTAAATACTAACATGTTCCTTAAGGAAATGCAGGGATTCTTTATTCCTTTTTACCAGTCATTCACTAGCCCTTTCTCGCCTGTACTGGTTCCAAAACCACACTGATATTTTTAGATATCTGTTACAGCAGCACCCCCTTCTAGGTACCAACTTCTGTCTCAGGTGGCTTAGGATGCTCTAGAAGATACAGCTGATGGCATGTAAGCAACAGAACTGTCTTCTCAGTCCTGGTGGAAGGAAGCCCAACATCAAGGTGTCAGTGTTTAATAAAGTGTCACTTCCTGATTGGTAGACAGCTACCTTCTGGTTTTTTCTAGCACAGCTTTTCCTTGGTTTGTGCTCAAGGACAAAGAGAGAACAAGGGAACTCCTCTTATAAGGACACTTACCTCACCAGGACGATACCATCCTTATAATCTCATGTATACCCAATTATCTCCCCAAAGCCCCAATTTCTACCTTTTTTGAGAGAGGAGCTGTTTGCTATTTGGTTTGGAAGACTAGCTGGCCCTCTAACTTCCTCTGTCTCCACTTCTCTTTCCTCTGTAGGAGCAGTGGGGGTAAAGGTGTGCTATGTGCCTGGCTTTTATGTGAATGCTGTGGATCTGAACTCGGGTCCTCATACTTGCACATCAAGACTTTACTCACAGACATCTCCCTAGCACCTGAAATGTCAGTATCTGATCTGGAAAACAGTGTAAGGCATTACCACAATGGTGACATACGGAGGAAAAAAAACAAACATCACCATCATTTCTTACTCATCAATTAAAACATCCTTTAGTAATATACCCATCACTTCACAGCCTTAGGACAGCCATAGTAAGAAGGTGAGGAGAGCATGGACAATGACACAAACAACAGAGAGCCAGATGGCAAGGATGTGGAGAACTCAAAATGCTTATGTAGTGCCGGGAACGTGGTGATGTTGCTGCTGCAGAGAGTTTGGCGGTATCAAATGTTAAACATGATTAGCACGTAACACAGCAATTCTACTCCCAAATACATGTAGCACTCAAGACAGATGAATTGTACAAAGAGTCTCAAATAATAGCCTACAGTGCAACAGCCAAAAAAGTGGAATGCAGCCAAGTATTCATAAGTAGATAAATGAATCAGCCCTAATAAGGAATGAGACTGAACATATACTGTGACATGGATAAAACCTGGTAAGCACGGCGACAGAAAGCAGCAGATCCATAAGGACATGCAGGTACTAGCCGAGTGCACCTAGATCAGATGCCCAGAACTGAACAATTCAGACAGGACTCAGACTACTACTGACCAGTGACTGTGGGGAGGAAAATGGGGAGACTATAATGGCAACCAGTCTGTTAGGAGGAAGACAAGTTCTGGAAACAAAAGGGGCAACGGCTGCACAATGTTGAACGTATTTAATTTTACTCAACTGTATATTCTGACAACAGAGTCCCTAAGTACATGAAGCAAACATCAGAACTGACAGCAGAAATAGACATAATTCTGTCCTAACTGAGGGAGACTTCAACCTTTGACTCTCAATTTTGGAAAGAACAACTGAATAGAAACAGGAAAGGACACAGCAAATGTAAGCACCGTAGCCCAGCAGCCTGGTGTAGCTCAGGAGCGAGACCCTCCACAACACACAGCAGCAGAACTGCAGCGGCCTCTGGGTAGAGTTGCTGCAACTTACACACAGCAGTGAAAGTGGGAACAAAACGGCAGCTCCTCAGTGGAGAGCAGGCACACAAAGGTGGCACATACAAGAGAACCCTGTTCACCTAAGGAATTAAATTCTGACAGACACAGAAACATACTTGGGCCTCAGTGGTATCGTGCTAAAAGAAAAAGTCCTGTCCCAGACCAAGGACTCACTGCAGTGCACATTTGCAAGCAAAGAAGTGTGGACAAAAGGATACACTGTGACACACTGCAGCTTCCACAATGGGATTTTTTTTTCTCTGTTTGGGGAATGTTGCAAGTTTGGAGGGCAGGTACAAGAAGAGGGGGAGATGAGTGGGATTGGGGTACATGATGTGAAATTCACAAAGAACCAGTAAAAAGTAAACAAAACAAACAAACAAAAAGACATTTTGATCCAAAACTCTATATATTTGCCAAAACCACCGGATTAACTCAGGTTGACTTTACAGTCATACCTCACTCATGAAGTTTTCATAAGTGACCAAGATTTGGAAATTAACTCAGAGGGAGATTATGTACCTAGAGTATGAGGCACTGGGTTGGATTCCTAGCACTGCAAAAATGTAAAGTAGCCAAGAAGCTAAAAGAACTAAAAACAGCACCAACAAAAGAGCAGTGAACACTCTTCTCACCTCTGCTGGATATGCTGGGCATGACCTGAGGGATCATGTTATTGCTTGTGTCCATAGGCTGGGAGTTATCTTGACCCAGCTGATCATCAGGTGGCATGTAGGCAGGAGGTGGAGTATCAGCTAAGAGGAAGACAAGGAGACACATCAGTTCCTCAAAGACATACTCTAAAAGCATTTTAAAATTACAAGGTTATCAACAGGACTCCTCATTGACCACTGCACACACACAGATGTAGGCCACTGTACAAGAACAGGCAAGAACACACACAACATCTCCTGAAGACCTACTACAAACCGCATTAACTTAGACCCTTGGGAAGCTAGGATACCAAGACTGACAATAAAATGGAAGCCAAGCTCAAGAAGTTTTCCTTTAAAGTAATCTATGTTCAGGGAAACTGCAGCTACTGCACAGCAATCTGAGGTCAGCAATCACCTGGTTCACACAGTACAGGTGCATTTTCAATTACCATCAGCATCACATACTGCAGTATCATTAAGTTTGCTGTAACAGTAACAACAGTTATTCCACTCTTTTGCAATGTTCCCAAGTAACTGGCATGCCCATTACATAGCTGGGTAATTAGCTTAGGAAAGTAAGTGTTAACAAAATCTTTGGGCTTCCAGCACTCAGAGTTGTGAATTTTTGAAAAAGCTACAACTAAACCTTTTCTTCCAATAACTATAAAGCTGAATAGTTGTCCTTTGCCTCAGGGTTTAAATAGGATATCTTGAGACAGCTACATACAACAGTGAATCTAAAATGAAGTATTAAATTTGTTTTGGAGACAACTCCTGACAGCCAATTACACATCTGTATTTAATTCCCCTATTTTCAGATGTTTAAACATTTGAGACTTGAAAAATAAAATCTACTTCTTGTGGATATAAAGTCTTAAAGCATATGTCACCATCAGCAAGCTCTTATTGTGTAACAGTTATTCAGAAGACCAGCACTTAAAACAGCTGCCCATTCTCAGAGATGATGCTTTCTATGTTATCACCTTACCTGGGAGCTGAAATGGACTTCCTGGTCCAGAACTTGCTGGGGAGTTGGGGTATGTGCTGCTGGCAGGGGAAGGGGGGTAGGGACTGTTAGGAGATAAGGGGAAAGGAGTGTTGTTGGGCTGGTGAAAAGAATCTGGAAACGTGGCGTTCTGTGGCATGTGGGGTTCATTGTGGCTCAGGTTCCTGAACTGAACCAGAAGGCTGTGCTGTGGGTTGAATTCGTTGTGACGAGGCACTAACACTGGAGGTAAGACTGAAAGAAAAACAAAAATGGATTATCAGATAGTCAGGAACCCTTAAGGGGCTGGTGGGAAAGACTCAAGTAAGCTCTGATTAAACTGTACTGTTAGAAGGGGCTATTTTGTAGAATCTGGGTTTGTATTTACATCATAGTCAACCAAAAACCCTTTAGCATTCAGCCTGTATGAAAATTCAAAAGGGATCCCATTTTCCATCTGTAGCTCATAACCCATTTTAACAACAGCCATAGTGGGAAGTATTTAATACAACTAATGAGAATTCAAGAAATGTGCATGTCCAGCCAGTGCAGTATCAAACAAGTATTGTAGAAATGACAGCACCCGAATGGACCAAGAGGGTTTCCTATGAGAATGGTAGGAGTAAGCAAAGAGGTAGACAGGAGGGGAGCAAATAGTCAGTTGGTCTCAGCACTGATCTACACAGATGCTAAGATGAGGGAGGGAAGCTGAGATCAGTATGCTGTACCCTGAGAACTTTGAACACCTTCATAGTGAAGTCAGAGGGCTAACTGTTTAACACCTAGAGAACTGGTAAGCAACAATGAAACAACAATCCTCCAGAGTCTCTCAGCATTTAAACAAGTGTGTTTTCCTTTATACAAATGACTACTTTCTCTAAAGATCCGGACTATAATCACAGTAAACTGATTGTCTTCCCCTGCAGGAAACTAATAAAAAATAGCAATTCATCTATTTTACAACTTTTAGTTGACAATGTGCCTCCATTTCAGGAAAAATAAAAAGAACTCAATTTGATTCTGTATACAGTGTCAACAAAATCAAATATATATGTTGACCAGGTCACAGTTCCCTTCTCTGAAGGAAACACATAAGAAAACCAGAGGATCCTGTGGTCAGTGTTTGTGCTGCTATTTTAAATTTTACTGAACTATATGGTAAATATGTATATAACTCCCACAATTATTTTGCTCTATTGTGTGTTAACAACTGCTATTGTGAGAGGAAGAAGAGGCAGCTGCCAATGGAGAGCAGAACAGAAAGTAGTAAGAATTTATGTTTAGCTGTTTAGCAATCTGAAAAACTTAATGAAATTATGAATTTTCTTACATCTGTAAGAGAAATCTGCATGATGATTATAAAACTTTATTTTCACATTAAATGCTATGTGGAGAGTTAAGAGAGAAGACTCTAAGCATATGCAGTGAGAAATAACAACAAAACGTATTTTCGAACCCAGCCCATTGTAATTCCCACAGCCCTTGTTTACTTTGTGCCCTGCTGAACAGTATGCTATACTGATATTACTAATTCTATGACATCATTTATAGACTTACTTTTATGGCAAATGAGTCAACTGTTTTTGTCGGTGTGTGCAGGTGGTGAAACAGGGTCTTTTGTTGCCCAGGCTAGCATCAAACACGGTAGCCTCCTGCCTCACCCTTCAGAGTGCTATTATTATTGGCTGAAGCAGATTTCTTATATTAGTCTAACCCTCCCTCTTTCCTTAATCTATTAAAAATTGGTGAAGAGGCTGGAGAGATAACACAGCAGTTAAGAGCACTGCTTGTTCATCAGAACCCCGGTTTGATTCCCATCACCCACGAAACAGAGCACAAAAGTCTAAAGCTCCACTTTCAAGAGGACCTGATGCCCTCTTCTGGCTTCTTCAGGCACCAGGCATACACATGACATGTAGGCAAAAGATTCATAGACATAAAAACACAAATACATATTTTTTTAATTTGGGTTCAATCAGTACCTAGTATTTATTACATATAGAGGTACTATATGAACTCATACCCATCCATATGCTATCTATACCTAAAAATACATAGAAAAGTCATTGTGCAGTCAAGTATATTATGTATTTTCCTCCTAAACAGTACTATATCTTTAATTTAAAGTATATACCATTAATATTTCCAGTATTCTAGCACACTTGTCAGAGCCTGTCAATGGCACTTTTTCAGATGTTATGAATCAAATGACTATGGAATTCCTGTGTTCCTCTGGATTACTCAGTCCTCTGCTCTAATCTGGCCTAGCTGCTGCTTAGGACTGTTTCTTGGCTAGGTCCCCTTTCCTTGACTTTGCCCTCTGTTTGCTACCTAAGGAAGGAATGGAGATACTGTGTACAAAGTTATCTTCCCTTCATTTCTCTTTATACAGAAATCCACCTCATTATTTTCCTTCTGGATTATGAAGACAATGCTTCACTTCTAAAATCCAGAATTGCACTAAAAAATTCAATAATTTAGATTTTTAAGGTTTTTTTTTTAATGTGCCCTATTCTTTCTTTCCGAAAACTTCCAGAATACCTTTATCCATGCTAAACTAAAACTTCATCAGTAAATCTTTGCAATCTTTTATTCTAATTACTTGGCCATTGGGCTCTTGCAGTTTTCAATTCTAAGTAGCTACTTGCTTGAAAATTTCCTCTCTGCCCACTCCCCATATGCTCTATTTGGATCCCTCCGGAGAAATGAACCTTGATTTGAAACTAGCTTGGGCAACATGATATTTAAGCACTTACACACATGGTGATTCACCCAATCTCACTGGCAACTCTATAAGGTCGTTAATTATCTTATAGAACACTATCCCTGTCACAGAAAGATTTGTAACCTGCTTAGGTTACAGGTAATAACTACATAGTAAAATCTTGACTCCAGGACCCACAGTCCTGGCGATCAGATAGTATTTTCTAGTCAATTAAATACTGGACCACCTAGGCTGGCCTTGTTTTTCTATGCTCATTATGCCACCCATCTTGTTGTGTTTTTTTCTTTCTGCAACATTTTCTTGCTCCACTATATATTCCCTGTGCACTATAAGTTAAGACTTAGCTATATGGAATGAGAAGGTGGACTAAAAGAAAGATGATTCTACTGGCCACTGTCATTACACCCTGGCCGTGAGAAGGGACAGACAGAAATCTTAAGATGTACTGCTGGCAAATACCTAGCTTGAGAATTTTTCAGACAACATTCTTGCATTCAATCTGCCCTGATCTTTCTTCCTCAATTCTCTCACACTATCACTCTCTTGGGTTTCACAGAAACTGAGACCCACCTCAAAGATAAAGCAGCAACTCTAAAGTTCATAGTTGAACTGCAACTAACAACACAAGGCACTGCTAGTTTTTTATTAGTCTCCACATTCAATCATACCGGCTCACAATTCCTCCATTATGGATGACACTCTGGGTACTGGTGTAATAGGATAATTTCTCTCCCTTCACCATATGACCTATGATTTGCTTCTAACCAACATAATTATGGGCAAAGTAATGGGGAGGTGTGGTCATAGTCTGTAAGAATTCATGCCCTCTTGCAGAAAGCACTCTGAAAGATACAACATCATAGCATGCAGGCTATTAGAAACAGTCTAGGAAAGAGAAAAATCTAATATTATAAGAATAGCAGTTTAAGAACAAATATAAAGGTAAACTACTAAAGAAGGTCACATACTAAAGCAAATAAAGGTAGTCTCCAGCTAAAAGAAAGCAAGCGTCCAATGGCCTGTACAGGAACTAAATGTTGTCAATATCACAGTGAGCTTGAAAGTAGCCAGCTGTGAGCAACACCTAGATTAGAAACTCCCAAAAGATGCTACTAAGGGTGACTAGATGGCTGACCCACAGAAACGATAAGGTAATAAATGAGCACTGTGTTGAAACTACCACATGTACTTATTTATTATGCAGCAACAGATTTATTTATTATGTATTTACTTATGTATTAAATATTTATTTATTATGCAGCAACAGTTAGCTAATGAATCCAACTAGTGTCTTAGCTGGTGTGGTGAATCTATATTGAAAAGTTCCTGGGCTGGAAACTTAATTCCCAACATGACAGAGTTGGGAGGTAGGGCCTAACAAAAGGTGAAAAGACTGTCATTGTGGAGTGGACTCCCTGTTAGTCAGATGGGTTGCTTGGGCTGGGGTGCAGCTCCATAGCATAGCACTTGCCTAAAAGTACAAGACTGTGATTTTAATGCCAGCACCAAAGGAAAAAGAAAACACATTTCTTTATACATATTCTTCTTTCACTCTGTTTCACTCACACTCATGTGCTATTCTGGTGTTCTAGGCACATTACAGTCACTTAATCCTAGACTTTCTACCCTCCAGAATTTCTATGGTTAACCTTTAACAAAGGCTAATAAACATAGTTATATGTAAATTGGGGAGATACATGTTGGTTTTGTAATTCTTTTCAGTAGACTGAATTTATCCAGTCTGAGGCATTCTGCTACAGTAGCAATAAAAAGCTTATATAATCAATTCACTAAAAAAAAAGAAAAAGAAAAAAATACTGACCACTGTACCTACAAACAGCTAGTAAAGAGTATTATCCTAGACAGTGAAGAATGATTAAGATGAAGGAAAGACCTCCCGACTCCCAAGAGTTGTCTTCTGATCTCCACACGTGCCATAACACACACACACACACACACACACACAGAAATGCACAAAGTAAACATAATTTAATGAAAAACAGAAAAACAGATGATGTGTGACAACAAAGTAGAGGGAGCAGAATCTAGTGTGAACAGGAAACGTGTTTAGCATGACAGAGAAGAAAAGAAATGGGTGCTATCAGAGAAAGTAAACTCCACAAAAGCTAAATTTAAAAGCTGGCATTCCTTCTAAGAGGAATCTTTAACAAAGTTTAACGTAATATTTTAGCTAATAAGCTTAGTTATATGCAAATTGGTGAGACACATGCTGGTGTTTGTTTTTAATTCTCAGTAGGCTGAAACTTACCTGGACTCTCCACTCTCTTATAGTGGTACGGGTTGATACAAACTTCCTTTTGCTTAGAGCCAAAAGGAAATTCACAAATATCCAATGGCTTTAGCTCATGATGGCTCTGCAAGTCAGGCCAGCGCCAAACACGACAATATATGACATGGGGTAAGCCTTTTCTGTGAGACACCTGCAGGCGTCCATCCAAGGACCTGGGGATAGTGACACACTTGCTTGGCTGTCCTGGGCTACTCAGAGCTTTCTCCAGTTCCTCCATGGCACCCTTCTTCTTCTTTAGCTTTTTCACTAAAGCATCGACTGCCTTTTCTGCCCATTTTTCTTCCTCATCACCTTGTTTCCAGCCCAACAATCGCTTCACGGCTGGACTAGTGAAAGAAAACAAGCTGGCCATTGACGTCATTTGATACAACTCTTCAGAGACTTGTCTGTAATCAAAGTCAGCAGGTATGAAAAGTGTCGCGCACAGGTGGAAAGTCACATGCAGGTCTCAAGCAGAAGATCCACGTGGAGGGTGGGGAGCGACATTTAACTTTACGAGAGCCATATGCTTCTTTCATTGGTAAGAGTCCTGAAAGAGAGGGTGAAAGAAGCCTAATTCAACCTAAGAAACTAGTCAACGGAGGTGAAAAGTTTGTTATTGTAAATTAAAGTAGAAAAGCATTCAAAGTAAAACAAAAAGCATAAAACCAGAAAACAAAAATATCTCAAAAGTTCCTCTAGCCACTCTTTCCCTTTTCCAGAACACAAATAATTCAACAGCAAATCAGAGGTTGAAAGAGCATCTAAGGTGGGAAGACTCTGAATAAGAGTTGTCAAAAGCTGTACCAACTGCCCAACACAGCCGAGCACATAGCATTACCAGGAAAGTGTCAGTTATCTATTTTTAGAACAAAGAATATTGAAGCTATTCAGAAAATAAATGTTATGCAATTCCTCAAAATGTTAGTTTATACTCTACAATGACTACTGGCCTCTAAATTTAAGCACAATTCTTAAGGAAGAGGTTCCTACAGGAGGAAGCTATATACCATGGTGCTCTAGTGCTGAGTGGGTACAGTTACCTGTCGATCACTGTGGCGTCAACTACAAACAGTAAGACTGAATAGCAAGACAATGTTTAGAAAAAGAACGTCAACTAAAGAATGTTTAATCAAGAAAGGGAAGGAATACTACCAAATTCATTGTATGAAGCATTACCTGATACTAAAACCAGGTGAAAGCTTAACAAGTAAACCATATAGACTAATTTCCTTAAACATTAGACAAAAATCACCAATAACAACAGAACCAAAATATCTGGGCCCAGGGGTATGATACTCCAACCAAGGACCATTCATGGAGATAATCTAGAACCCCTACACAGATGTAGTCCATGGCAGCTCAGTGTCCAAGAGGGTTCCCTAGTTAGGGGAACAGGGACTGTCTCTCACATAAACTCAGTGGCTGGCTCTTTGATCACCTTCCCCTGAGGGTGGGCAGCCTTACCAGGCCACAGAGGAAGATAATGCAGCCATTCCTGATGAGACCTGATAGGCTAGTGTCAGATGGAAGGGGAGGAAGTCCTCTCCTATCAGTAGACTGAGGAAGGGGCATGAGAGGAGATGAGGGAGAAAGGGAGGGTAATTGGGTGGGGATGAGGGTGGAGCTACAGCTGGGATACAAAATGAATAAATTGTAATAAATAAAATTATATTAAAATAATAATAAAATAAAATTGTATAAAAAATAAAATTTTCTTCCAGGCCTAAGTCAATAATACATTAAAAAGATCACACACCATACCATGTTGGTATCATTCCAGGAATGCATAACTCAACAGCATATACATATTTTTAAGTGTTAAATGTAACACAGCATACAAACAAACTTAAGGACAAAATCACACCATCATCTCAAGAGGTGAAGAAAAGACCTCTGATAATGTACAACATTACTGCAGAATTGAAGCCTGAACATATGTCAACATAATGATGACTACAGATGGCAGGCCTACAGCCAATTTATAAATCTGGAAAATTTGAGAGCACCCTCTGAAGCTAAGATCAAGACAAGAAGGTGCATTCCACACTCCTAAACACAGTGCTCGATGTCTTAGCTAGAGTATAAACCAAGACAAAGAGATGAAAAAGATACAAATAAAAAGGAACCAAACTGTCCCGATTTCCAGACAACAGAGTCCCATATTTAAAAAACTCTAAGTGTTCCAAAAAAAAAAAAAAAAAAAAAAAAATCCTTGTGTCTGCTGAACAATCAGTAAAGAAGCAGGATCAAAATCAAAACACAAAATAATGGCTTTTCTTTGTACCAATAACAAACATGCCAGGAAAGAAGCCATTCAGAATAGCTTTTAAAAAGCGAGGAACAAATCTACTAAGGTGGAGAAAGATCTCTAAAAATATAACTATAAAGACACTGAAGAAACTAGATACATGTTCATAGTCTCGGGATTAATACTGCAAAAATGGCCCTATTGCCCTAAAAATCCTACAGATGCAACACAATCTCCATAAAAATTCTAATCACGCTCTTCACAGAAATTAAAAAAATAATAATAATAAAATTAAAAAAGATCCTGAAATTCGCCAAAGTGCCAAAGACTCAAAATAACCAAAGCAACCATAAAAGGAAAAAAAAGGAGGGGCGGAGAGGGAGGATGCTGTAAGCATCACAACACTCAACATCACATTATACCACAGGGTCAAAGAACTAAATCTCTATGCTAGCTACTAGCAGGAAACAGACATGTAAACCAATGGAGTAGAATACAGGACCCAGAAATAAGCCCACACAGCTACAGCCATCAAATGACACATGAAATTTACATATTAACATTCAAAATGGATCAAGACCTGAAACTCTTAAAACTGCTAGAGGAAACCATAGATAAAACTCATTAAGATATAGATACAGGCAAGCACTTTTTTTAAATGACTCCAACAACACAGGAAATACTCCAGGAATTGACAATTGGGCTGATGCGAAATCAAAAGGCTCTGCACAGCAAAGGTACAATTAGCACAGTGAAGAGAGACTACAAGCCGGGGAAGAACTCCTCAGCAAGTACACAGCAGACAGGGTACTGATACCTGAAATAAAGACCTGCAAATATGAACACCAAAAACATCACCCCAATCAAAAGGTGGGCTAATGAAATGGTAAGATAGTTTTCGAAAGAAGAACTACAAATGCCCATTAAGTGTTTGTTTTATTGTTCAACATCCTTAACCTCAGGGAAATACAAACTAAAATGACTTGGAGGTTCTGTCTTACTCAGACAGAATGGCTATCATCAAGGAAACAACAAACACTGGGGATGACAGAACTCTTGCTTATTGCAGGTGGGATTGTGAACTGCTACAGCCACATGGAAATTACTACGAAGGTTCCCAAAGAACTAAACATTAAACTACTATGTGACCTAGCTACAAAGGGCTCTTATGCCACAGAGGTTGGAGGGAGGGATTCATGATAATACAGACCAAGCAGAACTCTCATACACTGCAGTTTGGCCACTTTGGAAAATGTCCAACAGCATCCACGAATGCTAAACAATGATCCCTACAGCCCAACAATTCTATTTCCGGGTATATGTCTGACATAAACGAATGCTATGAACCCAAGGAAAAAAGAACATGTCCACAGTATGTAAAAGCCTAATTCATGGAAATGAATTCACACAATGTAATATATCACTCCAGACACAAAATATTACTGCACTTCAGATAAAAAAATGAAGAAAAAATTACACATCATAGCATATCATCCCGTTCATATGACAATCAAAAATAGGCAAAACTAACAGGGTGCTTGAGATTTCTACTGGTCCTAAGAGGGGGTCCTAAAAGCCTTTCATGGAATTTGAAACTGTATCTTAAATGTAGGTGATGACATGATGCTACAGATAGGTAACTATAAGATCTGTAAGCTTCATCTCACGACAAACTCAATGTCCTATTTACTGTCAGTCAGGTTAGTCCAAGTTCACCCTTTGCATGCTAAGGGGGCTAAGTGTCTCAGATCAGAAATAAAAGACATGATCATTCATGGCAAAGAAGCAACATAAACATCAACATGATTTGAGGTCTCCTTTACCTCCAAGTGCACAAGTGACGCAGCAGGCCCAATGGATGGCTTTATCCCCAAGGTCCATCTATATGAATGCTGAGGTTTTTGAATCTACTACTTTTATAGTCATATGCAAACAACTCAAGAGTAATTTCACTATGAAAAGATTAACAGAAACCCTTGGTGGAAATACAGACACACATACAAATATATATACATATGTACACAGAGATGACAGAAAGATGCAAGATAGAGATATTTAGGATGTTTTTGATACAGGGTCTCACTATGAAGCCCAAATTGGCCCTGAAGTCTTGATTCTCCTGCCTTTGCCCTGAGCACTGAGATTACAGGTATGAGCCAACACACTTGACTCTTGATACATATTTCACACATGTTTTTGAAATATAAAAACTTAATGCTAATGCTGTAAATGCTATGTTGAAGAATGTTTTGCTAACTATTCTATGAGGAAAATTACATCTATTCATTCACACTGATTCATTCACTGTTTATCTTAACAATTAATGCATGTTTATAAAGTAATATTTCTCCCAAAATTGAGTATTTTCTTTTCACAGTAAAATCCAAGAAGTAGGGATAGGGAAAGATGGCAACAGTTAAAAGCACTGGCAGCTCTTCCAGAGGACCTAGGTTCGATTCTCAGCATCTATAAGGCAGCTCACAACTGTCTGTAACTCCTGTTCTAGAGGACCAGACACCCTCACACAGACATACTTCTCATACATGCAGGCAAACACCAATGCACATAAAATAAAAATAAATTTAAAAAAATGATCCACTGAAGGAATATTTCCTAATTCTTAAAAAAAAAAAAAAATCCAGTAAGTGCTTTTACTTTAAATGAGCACTTCCCTGACCACTATCAGTGTCACAGAGTGACCAAGCCATGTGGCAGCACTTCTGCCCACCGCTGTCACTGCTACAGTCTGTTAGAAGGCATGGAGAATGGCACTGTCGGCAACCAAAGGGATCTTGGTTACTCACCAAGGTTAAGAGTTTGCACTTTTTAAAAAGAACCTTAATAACTTCCTTTCTAAAAAGGTAATTGCTGGGGCTGGAGAGATGGCTCATTTATAAGTACCTGCTGGTTTTGCAGGAACCCTGGTTTCGTTCCTAGCACATCTAAAGGCTCACAACTGCCTGTAACCTGATGGGTACAATGACTTGGTCTTTGCCACTAGCACGTCTGACCATAATATTTACCTGCTGCTGTGGAAGGAGCAAAGCTGATACAAAGAGCCACTACTGCTGATGGACTTGGAGCTACGCCGTTTGGGTGGAAACATCTGTGGCAGCGACTACATGAAGCAAAGTTCTTACCTAACAGTATCACGACAGTACACAAGGCACCCAGCGCACAATCATTTCTCTGTTTGCCAACAGCCAGGCTGCACAGGAGAGTGTATTTTACTGCATTCACTGTAGCATGCTATTGGGGCACACCACTGACTTCACTCATACTTAGTTACCTAGATAATC